TTTCTTTGCATCATTGATTTGCATTTTGACTTGATCTTGTAATTTAGAAAAGAATGCTTGGGACGACTTTAAGGCCTTGTCTTTACCTTCATCCTGCAATTAAAAACAAACATGCTCATGCTATAAAATCTGTTTATAAGTGAAAAGCCAAAAATATAATAGTATGTTATGATTACAACAATGTATAAAAGTATAAATATGAAAAAGGACCAGAATTACAGAAAACTCAATCAGTTAGCATAGAGGTATTCTACAGATCCTACACTGCTACAGTGTTCTTGTAATTTAAGGGAGAAGGAAGTGGAAGACAAACTGCCACCAGGACCCACGTTACTGGGAGGACCCCGCATGAAAAACTCAAGGGGGTTTAAGGCTGCAATTCCAGCCAGTCCGCAGCAGGCCTCTCAATGAGCTGGCCCAGACATTTCAGTCTAGGAGACGGTGCCCAAACTCGCCATCCCCTTCCGTGAAGGTCCCCTTCAGCAGTTTTCTTTCCCTTGTCCTTACCTTCATTAAGGAAGCCTTGCCAGCTTTGGTTAGCTGTTTTAACTTCTCCGAAGCTACTGCTTTGGAGTATTTCCCTGCTTGTTCTGGGTTGCTTTTCTCAAGCAGTTTCCTCCGCTTCTCCTTTTCCTTTATTTTCATATGCTTTTGATATTTCTTTTTCCTCCGTTCTCGTTTCTTGTCTGTAGCTGTTTTCTCAGCAGCTGTTTTTATATCTCCAGCTTTATTTTTCTCCTATTAAAAAAAATAACCACCAAAATACTAGTGTTAACTAGATTAAGTACATAGTTAATCTAGTTTAACTTCAATTCAGGAAACTGGAACAAAAGAAATCGCACCACAGGCAGCCAATGGACTGTATGTCTCCAGCCCAGTATGTGAGGAAGCAGAGCAATTCCCACCTGTGTTCCAAAGAGCTTTGGTAACTCAGCTCTTTACAACATGGAATGCGTTTTTGACAGCACAGACTCTTACAGCAATGACTCAATTCCCAAACTAATTTATAATGGCAGCATGGAACACTGGGTTCTCAAGCTAACAGTACCAGAGAAGCAAGCCCTCTACAGCATTTAGACACCAGCATGGGCTTCAGCGACATGTCTGAGGCAGCCCCTGGGCTGAGGACAGGGGTCCCAGAGACCAAGGAACACAGGGAGGGAAGGGAAACATCTCTCCAGTGAGGATCAATTTTCTCTTTTCTCCTCAGCTACCAGCCTATCCCGCCAGGGCTGTCACCTGCACGGAGAGGGCAGAGGCTTTGATGGAAGGGGAGGGTGTAGATATCTTGCAAAGCAAGTAAGGAGGGAAAAACAGGGCCCTGGTGCTAAGCCAGCCAGGAGACCGGGGCCTGGCAGAAACCATTATTACTGTGTAAGGCATGAGCTTCAATGTTCATGAGGTAGGGGTCTGCCCACATTTGATATATCCAACTTCTTCCAAGATCCAAATGCTCTATTCTAGACCCAGATTCCATTACTGATAAGCATTATGTGGACAAAATTGGGGGAAAATGCTGATATTAAGTTACTGATACTACATATGCAATAGAAGCAATTTGTTTTAAATCTAACATCACTGCTAGTATTCACATTGGATTGTAACAAGATACTGACACTGGATATTTAAAAATTGCTCTTATAATAATTCTGAAACCTACACCTCATAATTATGCCTGATTATAGAGACTGGTGTTCAAATATTATGACATTATTAGTTTGATTATACTTAGAAACTGCTGAAATACATTAGAATAAAAACTATAAACTCAAGGAAAACGACACTAAATAAATATGGACTTAGCTATAATCAACTAACTTGTAAACAGACACCTGATGTTCCAACACTAGCTTCTTACCTTTATTTCCTCCGGGGCCAAGAGAGTGGCATCGCTAACACTCACTGGGGCCACTTCCTCCATGGTTATGGCTGGCAGATTTGACACCACCTTAATCTCTGGTACAGGCTAGAAAACAGACAACACATTTAATGAGAAGTCAGAAGTGGTCCTAACATAAAACGTGTTAATTGTGAACTTATTAAAGTATAATATATAAAATACTTTGTTGATTATTTAAAACGCTAGATGTGTTGACAGCCACAGTCTTCAGCTGACTGGAATGAAGGGAGTGCTGGTGGGCCGCACAGGCTGCCTCAGGAATCTATGAGACCTGGCTATTTTAGGGTCTTCTGTCTCAACACTATTCCAAAAGCACTTATTTCTACACTTCTGCGTAACATTTCTGCCATATTCAAACACCAGTTCTTTTATCTCTTCCTATACTATTCATATTTGCCATGTATGTGGATATACTCACACAATCTATTGTTTATTAGGAACATTGTGTTCCATTCTACAATTTAAAGAGAAATATGGAGAAAATGGAGAAAGTCCAAAAAACAAAAGAGGATGGCTGATGATTGGGGAGTGGAGTCTATACAAATGGTGTGTGAAATACCAACCTGAATATGAAAAAAGTAACAGCACGGGGAACCTATACTAGCAATTCTACATTTCTTAAGAGGAAAAAAGAAAGGCTTTTAAATTTTGGAACAGAGAAACAAACATATTTACTCTTTTACTTTCCAAGATTCCAAGGAATGTCTGAGGGTTTCCCCATGTCGGGCTCCAGGCTAGTGTGAGGAACAGAGTGGAAGAGCACACACATTTTGTGCCACTTGAAGATGACTAGAGAGCAATGAACGACCAGCCAATGACTGCGAATGTGCTATGGTGCCATGAAGAAAAGGAGCCAAGCAGTGACATGTGCATGGAGGAGGGAAGGGGCAGGGAATGTCTGCGAGGACAGAGGAGGTGTCTAGCTTGAGCACTAAGGAGCTAGCCATGTACAGAAGAGCAGCCTTTGGGCCAAAGCAAGAACACAGCAAGGTATGAGGAAGGGACTTAGCCCCCTGAAGGAACCAGAAGATCGGTGTGGCCGGGAGGAGCAAGCCAGGGAGACCAAAAGGGAGGGAAGTGCCAGATCACAGAGGGCCTGGTAAGGCCTGGGCAGGGCTTGTGTCCTTCACATGAGTAAGACTTTCTCACAGCAAGACCTGCTGGCAAAGAGGAATTGAGAAATTCCATGCATCTCTTCATCTGTTTATTTTACACAGCCCGCGTTAGGCACTTTGGAAATGTAAAGATGATTCTGTCATCAAAACTTACTCTCATGTAATTATAACTCGATTAACACACACACACACACATACACATGCACACACACATGCACACAGACCAGGTGTAGTGGCTCATGCCTATAATCCAAGCACTTTGGGAGGCTGAGGTGGGAGGATCACTTGAGACCAGTTTGAGACCAGCCTAGGCAATATAATGAGACTCCCGTCTCTAAAAAAAAAGCCACTGCACTCCAGCCTGGGTAACAGGATGAGACCCCATCTCAAAAAACAAACAAACAAACAAACAAATAAAATAGGAAATAGGTGATAGAAGCTTATTGTCTGTTTAAGAAAACAAATACACTGGAAAAAAATCACCTAACCATCAGCTAATGAGAAAGTATCTTGGAGATCACTTCTGCACAGATAGAATGCAAAGTAATTTGCCTACATCATAAAGCCAGTTAGGAGCAGAATTAGACTCAGGTTCTAACTTTTAGACTGGTCCTTAATTCACGAAATTCTACTTTAGACAACAACACAAGACACCAAAGGGCAAGAAGTGAGCAAGTACTAAAAGATGGTGGCAAGCGAGGTTTATGCATTCACAGAAGGTGGTGAGTAGGAGGAGATGAAGCTCCAAGGAGTGGGCAGGTACTGAGCCAAGTCTGGCTGACAGCCAACAGACAGAGGAGGAGAGCTTTTGAGAATATGGGCCTGGCCAAGGGAATATCATGCAACAGAGAAAGCATGGCCCAAAGTTAGTTCTTAATCTCTGACCTCCTAAATCTTGGTTGCCTCACCTGCAAAATGGAAATAAAAATATCCACCACAGTGTTTTTGTGCATTCAGAGTTAATGTATGTAAAGGACTTAATATGGCCCTTAGTAGGTACTCAACAAATGCCAGCTATAGACACCCGCATGTCTCCAAAACCATCATACAATGAAAATGCAACAGAAGACTGAGAGGGAGAGGAATGGAGTCTCTGTGGCTGAGCGTCTAGCAGGGGCCCAGTGGATATCAGGTTGGATCAGCAGGGGAGAACCAGAATTGTCAGGGGACCAGAAGTGAGCCTTCCTCACTTAGACGCTGCCTGTAATTTACAAGGAATTACTGCAGGTTTGTATCCTGAAAACAAATAAAGAGTTAGTCTCATAAAAGCTCAACGAGTTATTAAGGTCACATCTGTTCTTATCTACAGACTGAACTGCTAACACACTTACCGGTTTAGGGATGAAGTGGAAGTGTGAGAGGGCATCCAATTTTAAGAAGAGGGAATCCATCATCTTCTGAATTTCTACATGCTCTGGATTTTCTTCTTCTGCTGTTTTTTGCTTAGGAAGTAAGTTCAACAATATCAAACTAAACAGCTTAACATATATCACGGGACAAAACACTAAAAGTCAATGAGGGTATTTCCAATTTCTCATCACCAAGGCTTCAGCTACAAAGAAATATTCCAAAGACAAAATAATGGTATCAGTATCACAATGGTACCAGCACCTACCAAAAAAAAAAACGTGATGTGCATTTTAGGAACTACAGCAACCATTACCTCTAACACTTAGAACTTAAAAATTAAATTCCCTTGGTATTTAATTCTGTCAAGAACTAAGCCATTTCCAATAGGATGGCTATAAAAAAAAAAACGGAAAATAGTGAGTGATAAAAAGCATTGGCGCATGGAACGACAAACTAGTACAACCTCTGTGGAAAGCAATATGGAGATACTTCAAAGAGCTACAAGCAGAACTCCCATTTGACCCAGCAATCCCATTACTGGGCATCAACCCAAAGGAACAAAAGATATTCTATAAAAAAGACATCTGCAGTAGAATGTTTATAGCAGCACAATTCACAACTGCAAAGATGTGGAAACAACCCAAGTGCCCATCAAACAAAACAAAAAAACAGGCCACATATATTATATGATTCCATTTATATGAATTATCCAGAATAGGCAAATGCATAGAGATAGAATGCAGACTGGTGATTGTCAGGGGCTGGGGCAAGGGCGTGATGGGGAGCAACTGCTTAATGGGTATGGAGTTTTACTGTGGGGTGATAAAATGTTTTGGAACTGGAGGTAGTGGGTGCACAACACTGTTCTAAATGTTTCTGATTTATTCATTTAAAAATGGTTAATTTTATGTTATGTAAATCTCACACCAATAAGAAAGAAAATACAGAAAGAACTGAAGTGTTAATATAGACATCATAAAATTATCCAAATACCCACTTGGATTGGAAGGACTCTTACATGTCCTTTCACTTCATTCTAGGTAATAATATCTGTGAAACCAACTATCTGATATACGGCATTTTTCTGATCCACATTAAATATACAACTGTGACTAAAGGCTCCTTCATGGGCTGTCTACCATCAACTCACTTCAGAATTAGCCTAGCTAATTAACATACTAGAACTCCAAGTCCAAACTCAAACACTTCTGAACTGGCTGTTGACTTCTGAGAGAAGTAACACTAACATTTACAGAACTAGCACAAGCTGTTGCATTACATATTTACTAATAATTTTTAACTCTCATGGTCGCTAAATATTTTGCGTACCTACTAAATCCCCTCAAAGTAGCCAGGAGATGTTCAACAGACATCAAATGAAGCTGGACACATGGACCTTCAGCTACCACCTGGGGGTTGCAAGGCAGCCAGGAAGAAAAATTTTACTTCAAATCTTTTCAGTTCTTCGACTTCACTGTGGCCTCAGGGCACTGTTTGCAGTTGCAGCCTGAGTAACATTCATTAACAAAATCTGGCAGGAATCTTAAATGGCTTTTGCAGAATAAAAATGCCATCTCATCCTGACCACATTCCCAATGTATCAAATGTGAAGGAATAATTCAGTTATTATATTGGAATATGATATTCTTGGGAATATGACCCTGTCCTGATATTTAACCAGAGATTTCTTTTAGACTTCAAGTAGAAGAAAAAACAGACACAGACCCAAAAATCAGAATGAATTCATAATCATATAAAATATATCAGGAACTTCAAAATATCAATGAGGAATGATTTTTAAATTGTAGCACTACCATAATTGCTAGAAAGTTAATTAACCAGTTGTAAAAGTATCAGGTGATCAATGTCTAATTGCAAAGTAACACCTCCCCACCCCCTCACACTCAGTGGGAATACTACAAACTCTCTCTTCCTGACATGTTCTGTCTCACAGTTAACGAAGTGACCAAAGAGCTTGAGATTTCTGTTTCATGATTTCAATAGTCAAGAAAAGCCTAGTTCTCTACTTCTATTTCTTTAGTAATAATGGTTTTGCTTTAGAGGCTTCCTTACCTGGTTGAGTTTGATGTATTCCTGTTCATAAATTTCAGCAAGGCTCAATTTACTCTTCTCGTGGTCTAATGTTAAACGCTTTTTATATTCATATGCATCCTCTTTAGGTTTTTCTTTACGTACTACATCGTCCCAAGCCTGAAATATAAAGGGCAGGTAGAACATAAATTAACAAAATCTATAATTTATTTCTAGGTTCACTTAGGAAATCTTACTCTGGAATATTTATTATTTCGGAGTAAGCAAATTATAGCAAAAAGAAAGTAATTATTTCAACGTCTGAAATAACTATTCAAGTCACAAAGAATAAGCATTATGAATAGCAAAGAGGGCATTACTCAAATATCCTTTTCTGTTTTTGTTTTAAATGAGTCTTTTTTCCAGTTACCAACTTTAATCCCACATTTTCCCATCAAACTTTGTTTAAAAGTCAAGCCTTATCTTTACCTTGTTTCATTCCAAATTGTAACATACTCTGCACATAGTACCCAAACTTTAAACCCTTTCTATCTGAGACACAGAAGCGTGGACAAATATTACATACACATGTTATAAAGCCATCTCTTACTATCCATGCCATATACCTAACTTTTACTCTAAGTTTACAAAATCTGACCCATTCTTCAACAAAACTCTGTGCTAGGTTTTCAACATTTGAAAGGATACACCCTTGAGAAATGTTTTTAAAACTGTAGTACTTACCACCATGTTGCTAGGATTTCAATTTGCCCTCCAAAACTCATTATTGAAACTTAATCCCCAATATGGCAGTATTGAAAGTGGGGCCTTTGAGAGGTGATTAAATCATGGGACTCTGCCATGTGAGTGGATTAGTCCATTTATGGATTAATAGGTTATCGTGGGAGTGGAACTGGTGGCTTTTTAAGAAAAGAAAGAGAAACCTGAGCTAGCCTGTTAGCACGCTCAGCCCCCCTCCATGTGATGTCTTGCACCGCCTCAGGACTTTGCAGGGAGTCTCCACCACCAAGAAGGCCCTCACCAGATATGGCCCGTCGACCTTGGACGTCTCAGCCTCCATAATGGTATTCCTTTTCTTTATAAGTTACCCAGTTTCAGATATTCTCTGATACACAACAGAAAACAGACTAAGACACACATACTATGTGATCTGCCACATGAGATACTGTGCCTAAAACCCAGGGTTCCATGTGTGACCATGGCAAGTCAGTCACCAGCTTCATCACACCACCCAAAAGGCTGGCAAGACACGGGAGGGAGGATACTCAAGACACGGGAGGGAGGATACTGGCAATGGCTTCCGGCTCTCCCTCTCTCCTCGGGCACAATGTCCATCTTTCCTGGTATTAGTGAAGAGAAGCACCTCACACAACAAAATATGAAGATACCGTTAGCCTAGACTTAAGGCTATTAAGTGAAGAACATTAAGTAAAAATAAAGAGAGCAGGAGTCCTACTCCCAAAGTAATCTCATATTATTTCTAAAAATTTCAGTGACATTTAAATTAAGTTAAATTTAATTCTTACTGACCTGATCTCTTATCCTCTGTTTAATGATGTCTTCTAGTTGAAGGGTGGTTTCCTCTGTAATCACAGGTGCTAAAGGAAATACAACATGTATTCATTAGGTAGATATACACTAGACCACTGATTTTCAAATTGTGGTCATTGGAACTATAGCATCAGCAACACCTGGGAACTTGTTAGAAACGCAAATTCTTCCACCAACGCTACTGAATCAGAAAGTGGGGAAGGTGGACAACTATCTGTGTTTTAATAAGTCTTCTGATGCTCCCTCAAGTTTGAGAACCACAAAACTAGAATATATATGGTAGCATGTTCCAGTATTTTTATCCCATGTACCTGGGGACTCTTCCCCCTCTTTTCCATTCTCTCTTCCACAGAAACAGAATGAAAACTCATTATGACTTAATGCACAAGAAAGAGTTCAATGAGATGAGCAGGGTTGTGGGTTGGAATCCACAATTTAATCAGTGGAAAGTGACAGCATGCAAGCCTTGTAAACAGATCACTACAAGAAATTTGATTATGGACTATACATAAGGTATCATTAATGTATCGATGTTAAATTTCTTAGCTAGATTAATGCTATTGTGGTTATATAGGAGAATGTCCTAGTTCTTAGACGATACATGCAAAACTACATAAAAAATTAAGTGTCATGATATTGGCAACTTACTCGGAAATGATTTAGGGAAAAAAAGGGCACATACATAATCTTACATACGTGGTGGAGAGAAAGCAAACGTGATAAAATGTTAACAACTGGTGAGTCCAGTTCAATGGCATATAGATGATCACTGTATTATTTTTTCAACTTCTCTGTATGTTTGCAAGTTTTTAAAATAAAAGGTTGGGGGAAAAGAAACATCACACCAAATCTTTCTATGAAATGGAACCATAGAAAAAGCACAGAAATGAAGACTACACAGAAGCCCAGCGGGCACCATACCCATTCGGACGGCATGGTCAAAGTGCAGGGTCTCCTCTAGAAGGCTGTTTTCTGGTCGCTTCTGTGCTGTTACTTCCCCTTGGAGCTGCCAAGGCTTTTTTTCCAACAATTCTTTTTCTAAAGATGCAATTTTTTCATTCATCTAAGAAAGAGACAAAAGAGTTAAGCAAATATTTTAAAAAGTAGGAAAGCAACAAATGTATTGTTCCT